TGTTCTTCCCCTCCCTTTATAGCTGTTTCCAATCCTTCCTTCTTTTTTAAAGCTGTTTTCAGCTGTGAGCTAATGAGTAAGACTAAAGCAGTGATGACTTTTTGGTTGCCTAGGGTTTGAAATGTCCTGTTTGACACATCATTAGGTAAACAGTCAAGTTAATAAATGTTAATTTTTTTAATTGGCTTAAGTGTTCTTTTTTCTCTTTGTCCTTTTTTAGTTGGATTGGTTTGGGGCTTTTTTTTTTTTTTTTTTTGGTTGGGGGATGGGTTTTTTGTGTGTGTGCGTTGTAGGTTGTTTCGGGGTTTTTTTTGTGTTTGTGGTTTGTTGATTGATTTTTTAAATTTAACTTCTTATTTAACTCATATCACTTTTCATGTCCTCCAAGTTATTTTCTGGAAATGGGAAGCAAATTGACCCCTCTATGCTTTCTTAAGTACAAACCAGAAAGCTACAATATGTAATTTTAACAAATACCTGTGTTATGAACCAATATTAAAGGTAACTGTGAGTTTAAGGCCTGTGGAGGACAATCTTAAGTCATTCTGGTAGGAGTGATCTTCTGCCACTGTGTTTAAGTCAGCTATCATTAAAAGTAAAGCCTGGCTATTTCCAGCTTAAACTAAAACAATATTGTAGTATTACAGGGAGTATGGAATCTGACAAATGGGAAGAAACTGGTGCAGATGCTGCCTTAATTTGTACCTTGCAAGAAGGCAGCTTGATAGGCACCAGGCTCTCATTTACAGAATTTTCTGGGACCTGAAAACTTATATTTTCTTGTTCGTACATATTAGGATGAAAGATCTTTTATCAGTCTTTGAAGTTTCTTCATTCTTTAAGTGGCTTCTGTAATCTTTTAAATAGCAAGTAGAGGGGAGTTTGAGGGATTTTTTTAGCAGCTTTTCTGTCAAGAAAGGAAAGATACTTCTGGTTTTATTGTAGGATCACAGTCCTGTATTTGCACTCACATGTCACATTTTGAATCCTCACTTGAAGCGTAGGCCATATTTTCTATGTTAGTTATGATTATTTTGCTGCAAAACAAGCAGGTTAGTTAGCTTTTTTATGAGCATTTTTTTTCTTGAAAGTACTTGTTTGGAGTTTTGTTATATTTCAGATAAATTTATGGTGGAAGAGAAGGGAGGAGATAAAAAATGGGGCTCTTTCACCAGTGAAACTGAATCTTGCTAGAAACCTAATGTGAAACTGGCAGAGGTCAACGGTGCTGAATTTGTGTTAGAGCAGATCTGTCTGTTGCAGTGATGGGTACTGCTACTCTATTTCTATTGATCTCTGTTTTCCAAAACTCTGTTGCAGAATTGTGCGTGTATTGCTCCTCATCTGTGTTACATTGCTCTTGTCCTCTAACAGCTGCATTGGTGCTTACTCTTTTAACAGTGTTCTAGTCTGTAAAATGCTGAGTGACTAATCATCCTTGTGGAGAGGTAGGAACTATCTAACTTTATATTTGGAACTGGGACACAGAAACGGTGACATACTGGAGCTGCACCGGAAACCTCTGGCAGTGACAGAGACTGCTGGTCACGGTTGTAATTCAACACTAATTCTTTCCAATAGGTGCATAGCATGTCACTGCTCACCAAATTTGGTTTATTGTTTCTGTGTAAAGTCTTTCACATTTGCTGCTTGGGAGTTTTGTTTTGGTTTTTCTTTTAAGCCACCTCTAAAGTGAAAAACTATAACAACCGATTCCAGGAAAATGTGAGTTCTACTCTGGGGATTTTAAAGAAAATTTGGGATGTAGCTTAACAAAAAGAAGGAAAGTTGGAGAAGTAGGTACGGTAGAAGGAATATGAGAAGCAGAAAGCTGTTACACGTAGAAATATTAAATTCAATATTTATTTGTTATAGAATTGCTACTCTTGATTGCTAAGCTGAGAAAGAAAGTAGGTTTATATTGCTGAGTGGGAAGCTTTTTTTAAAAAAAAAGTTCCTTTCCTTGAACAAAATGCTTCAACTGCACTCCAAATCTCACAGTCCACGTGCCTGTGCTTGTTCAATTTCCAGTTTTTCCAGTTTGCCTGTTGTGTTCAGTAGAGTTGTAGCTTTCAGAAGGAGGTACTTTTTAAGGTTACTCACAACTTTCCACTCCATGGTTGCAAATAGCCTTCCCTCTTTGTGTAGATGTGAAGTGTCACTCAACAGAGAGATGAAGTAGGTCTGGTGTTACTGTGAACCAGGGTTTGCTTCATGTTTGCCGGAGTTCTTCATAGCCGTTCACACTCTGCTGAAGCAGACAGCTTTACTACAGATTTTTCTGACTGTAGTACGCTGGAGAAGCCTTTTCTCCCGCAAATTTAGTGGGTGAATTACTTGCTCTATGGGTGAAGTGCCAACTGGTGTATCATTTGTTACCAGAATTATCTGTATATTGAGCTGCTTTGATTAGCATAATTCAGGTGGGATTTTTTTTTACTGAAGCGTTTTATACCAGACAAAACTATAGTCCTTTTGTTAATGAAGGTCACTTACTACTTTGTTACCTTGAGCAGTTCAAGTAGCTGGAAAGGAGTATAGACATAAATTTTGAAATGATTGGAGTCTGGAATATTGAAATTCATTTGTTTCAGCTTTTAAATTACTTTTAGTCTTACCAAAGGGTTTTTTGCACAAATGTTTCACTGGAACTTACTAAATTTAATTTGTCTTACGTCTGCAGTTACTTTTCCTGGTTGAATTATTGATGTTGAATTACTGATTTTCCTGCTGTGGTAGAATACCTATTTTTATATTAAGTACTGAATTCTTCTTTCTCTGAAGATAGTAGTCCTTTTGAAGACCTCTCTAGTCCAATGTGCGTATCTCTAACAGTCCACTTTATGCTGATGTTTCCTCATCCTTGTCTTCATGCTATTCAATTTTATAATTTTCATAAATGACATGAGAGCCTGTTCGTAGTTCTTAGTCCCTGTGGTAGTTTAAAAAAAACCCCTGAGGATCTAAATGTACTTCCACTATTAAATACAGTAATAACTGTACAACTGCATTAAAATAATATTTGTGGTTTTCTCTTATTCTATTGCTACAGCTTACTTCAAGGGACATGATGTCTTTTTTTCTCTCAGATTTTGGAAATGATTGATTGTTCTTAGAACTAGAAAATACATTCTAATGAGAAATAAGCCTGACTTAACAAAACCTGCTGTATTTGTTAAATGGAAAAAAATGCCCTGAAAAAATTTAAAAAAACCTTTATATCAGAAGCTTCTTCTACATTTATTGTTTGCTTTTGCATGGATAATATAAATCTAGGTTAATAAATTTTTCTAGAGGATAATGAACGACATACGGACCTAAAAAGTGATATTAAATGGCAGAAATAAGTCTGTCATTGGGCCTCCCAGTAATACCTGGAGAGTGTAGCAAAATGCATTCTAAATGCACTTACTTTGATCTGGAAAGAGCTGTTGCCCACACTTCTACAAACAGCAGCCGTGAAGTGACCTGTACTATTAACCTTATTGTGCCATTGCTTATCAAAACTGATATGGTTTCATTTTCTAAAACAGTCTGATGCCAGTGCAGAATGGAAATATTATTAATTGGAAAATTCATCAGAATTAACACATGTAAGGAGAGGAAACCTGGAACTAAATTTTTTTGGTGTTTGGAGGGAAGGAGATTGTTGTGGGCTTTGGGTGTTGTGGTTTTGTTGTTTGGTGGAGGATGTTTGGTTGTTATTTGTTCATTTGTGATTGGGGTTTTTTTGAGTGTATGGACTTACACATTTTGAAGTGGTGTTAGTCATTCTGTGTTTGCAGGAGCTATCATCTTACAAAGAACAAGGTGTTTATGTTGCAAGAAACATAAGTTAGTGTTTTTTCCCTCATTTTATGTTGGCTTATACTTAGTAAATTTTTATGAAGTGGAGGATTTGTGAAACTTAGAGGATGTACATTAGGATCTTCCCAGGCAAGAGTTAGCTGTCTTGTCCAAATAGGCATATGTTTCCAGCATAATAGGTATGCCTGGCTTTCTTAAATGTTTGACAAAGTTCTTGGTTGAATGGCTTGTATAGGCTTGCAGGAAAAAAAAAAACCAACTTGTATGAAACTGTTAATGTATGAAAGAAGAGCTGAATATTTTGCCTTTTCTCAAGACTTCTAGATACCTTGACAAGTGCAGATTTATCTATAGAAGCTCTTGAAGCCCTTTTTAGAGTCAAGGAAGAGCAAGGGAGAAAGAAGTTGGTTGTTACATGTTTTAACTGAAAGTGTAAATTTAATTTTAAGACACTGGCCAAACAAATAACTTGTGGAGCATTAAAACAATTGAATGGAAAGCTTCTTTGTTTCCTCACAGCAGTATTGTTACAGCACAAGGAATCTGTAATGGGGAAGGGAGAGAACTGTTTCTGAAGTACAGTAGTTTTTAATTTTAAAGGGATAATTGTCTTAAATGTAAAATTTAAAATAAAAAAATACAGATACTTTGCCTGATTACAGCATTTGTCAGCTTCTTGAATTTTCATGTCTGTTTTGATCTTTGTGAGGTACATCCCTGATGCAGGTAGTGTGTAAAGCAAAACCAAGTTTCTGTGGGGCTTTTTCTTGCTTTTCTTAGTTATAATGTCAGATGTTATATACAGAGTGCTTCCTGTTTCATGAAGACTCATGAACAGTTTTCTCTCCTTCCACGTCAGGTTTTTCTAGCTAAGACTGAGTCCTTGTAAATGTTGATCAAAAATTGATTAGACTTTTCCAGCTTACAGCTTTGTGTCTTCCTGCTTTCTTCAGCCAGGAGTGCTTTCACAGTAGTTACATACATGAATTTGGAAAGGCATAGTCGTTGTAGCTGTTTACCTTCATAGCTGGTTTCGGTGCTTCTTTGTCTATTATCGATATTTTTGATACTGATACAGTGGTTCTTAGAGTTGTTAATTGCACATTCTTTTGTATTTGTATATGGAAAAATTGTTGAAGGGTTTTGATAGACACGAAGTGAAAATTACTATGTGTGTTTTTGTTTTCTTAAAGGAACTTAGTGACTTAGCCCGTGATCCTCCAGCACAGTGTTCAGCAGGTCCCGTTGGAGATGACAGTAAGTAACTTTAATTTTTATGTTTTGTTCTGCTGACTCAAAGCATATCATGACTAGATAATAATGCGGAGTTTTTCTTTTGTAGTGTTTCATTGGCAAGCCACAATTATGGGACCTGTAAGTATCCTAATTCTTGTGATGTAATATTATAAATGAGTAGTTCCTACTGAGGAGAAAACTCTGGGTTTTTGGTTTACTTTTGTTAACTCTCCTTATCTGACTTAAGTTCTAGAGCTCTTTATTACAGTAAAGGAAAATGAGGGAGGGGAAAAACCCCACCATTTATTTTGTTACTGCAGTGTTTTTTGTGAGGACATGTATTCCAGAAATAATCTCTAGAGCAATGTTAGGTATTATTACTTAAATGCAAACAAAGTTTCTAGATATTAACTTTTCCAAAATTTTAATCTACCATGAACTTCATACTAGGACCTGGTACTACTGTCAAGAATTAGTTGGGATGTTTTTGTGTGGCTCTTAGAAGGGAATCCTTTTTTGGTCTGGTGGTGTAATGCTGAGATCTTGAATACTTGAGGGAATAGAAGGGGGAATAATCACTGAAATGTGACGTTTCATTTATGACTGGAGAAGAAAAGTCAGTGTTAAATGTTCAGTAAGTATATGAAACCGGAATGGGTCTTTTTCCTCATTAAGGAAGCCAAATGTTTGCCTTTGTTTGAAACAACCTGGAAACAATTCACATCTGGAGTTTTTCTGATTATCTGTATTTTCGTAAGACAAAACCTTCTGTAACGTGTGAAGGAAAGCCTTCGGTGAGGCTACAAAGTAGGAATTAAATATCAGTGATGCTGAATGACCCTGGCTTTATATATAGCTACAAGTATGTTATTAGGAGGTGGCTATTAGAGGTTCACTGCTCTGAAAGATATCACTTCATCCCAAAGTACCTGGTCATCACTGATTGCAACTAGGTTCCTTAAAAAAAAAAAAGTTCAATAGCTATATTCATGCCTAAATGGCAAGGAGTCTCGTGCACTACACTGGGTATGAGGATTCTATGTGACTGGTGTCTGCCTGGTCATGAGGTATTAAGCATTGGTTAAATTTAAATTGGGATTATTATTTTTAGTTTTCCCATGTGGTTTAACAATGTACAGCTCATTTCTTCCTCGTGTGGTTTTTGTGGTGTCAGAAGGTCTGAATTCCTGTTTCCAGATTGGGCAGAATCCTGACACAAGTCAGTCTGGTGTTAGTAGTTGTAGTGCTGCTGTGGTGCTGCCTTTAATAACAGACAAGGATTGTAGAACCAATCATCTGGTCTTCCACCTCTGCAACAGAATATTGTGATTTTCCCGGACAGCTGTATTGAGAGTGTGCTTTGGTTTAACACATTTTAAAGAGGAGTTCCTGTAACAGATAAAATGTATCCCCAGAATGTGTCCAATGAAAGGGTTGGTATTTTTTGGCTCCTCAAGGCCACATATATTATCTATTGACCAAATACAAAAGGTTATACCTTTATTACTAGGTTTCATCAGAGATAGGATAGGGTATAACCTACATGTTGAGCGTTTGAGTCCTGTCTTGTGTTGCAGATTTGAATTTTCTGATATTAAGTAATATAGTTATTTTCTTACATTGGTGAAATGTTTTTCCAATTAAGATGAGGATTCAGTTTACAAAAAATGCAGAAGTTTACTGTATATGCCTCAAATCCATTATCCCTAGCTCTGAGTCCAGAATTGACAGCAAAGTATTCTTCAGGTTAAAATTGTTAGCTGTATTTCAGAAATTTAATTGTAATTTTGAGTTTAAAATCTTTTGCTTCTTTCTTCCTGTAACTTATACAATCCCTGTTTAGTCACTCAAGTTTTTTCTTCTCCTTAGTATAATTTTTTTTTACTTCCACATGTTGCTTTACTGCTTATAGTTGAAACTTGAAATGAATTATCCAGTAGTTCTTTCCTGGGAGCAGGGAAATGTAAAATACTCTCTCATACTAGATTACATTGAATCTCTAATACAGAAAGAGAGGAAAAATTCACTTGAATTATGATTATTATTTTGTCTGTTTTGCTGTGCTGGTAGGATAGGTGGTTCAGGTTTTTTGTTGGTGTCTTTTTGTTTTTGTTTTTTTTTCAAGGAACAAAGATCTAGCTGTGTACTCACAGGTCTTCTGCAGGGCTGAAGCTAAGGACAGAATGTAGGAGAATGGGAGTCTGTGGTCACTCTAAACTTGGGTAGTCATAACAACTAAGCTCCAAACACAGAACTGGAGGGTTCAGAATCTGATGGGACCCCCACTCTGTTAACATTACTTCTTGGAGCTACCTTAAGAAGCATTCGAATGCTTTTGCCAGTCCTGAGTGGATTGTCAGATCTGAGTTTTATGATTCATTAGCTTGGAGAGGTCCACACGGAAAGTAACGTGTATGTGTTCTGCATTACTTACCTTAGGAAGTAAGAATTGAATTGTAATTATGTCTCATTGTATTGGTGGATTCAGCGTTTTGGTTTAAGCAAATTTCATCTCCATTTATTTGAAAACAAGATTTTCAGTGGTATTTAGTCCTAAAGATGATAATAGGAGAATTATTTGTTTGCTTTGACAGAACGACAGTCCATATCAGGGTGGTGTATTCTTCTTGACAATTCACTTTCCCACAGACTACCCGTTCAAACCACCTAAGGTAGGTATTGCTGTCTCATTTGTGAAATTAGTGCTTTTTAAAGAACTGAGCACAGGACAGAAATTGTCAGTGTCTGTATTGTAGTGTTGTCAAGTTCTCACTTCTTCTCAGGCATTCTTACTATCTTTTAGATACCTGGGTCCCATTCTGACCCACAGGAATGGGTGTGTTAGCATATTTTTTATGAGCCAGTCTGTGTATGTGAATTCCGAATGTCTTGAAATACTTGAGTTCATTTCTGGTTTTCTGAATTGATAGGAAAACTTTTCATTAGCTTTGTGTTACTATAATAGAATTCTTGCCGAGGGGACTGTCAAGTATTAGTGTAGCTATTTGGATTGGTCTGTAGAACTGTGACACTGTGGGTAGGGATTTGCTCGCTGAGTACCTAAAATCAAGTGAAGATTTTGTTAAGAGTTTGGCAGTAATTGCAAAATACGCTCTTTTTTCGTAGCTTTATCAGCCACTAGTTTTGTCTTCCAATTTTAAGTCAATATGAAGGCATACCCTTGGAGTGACTGCAGTGTTGGAAGTTCCTTAGCTCTGTGAGGCCATTGTTACTGTGGTTTAGACACTGCTGTTGAGTGTCTTCATCAAAGGGATTAAAACATTCATACTTTCCCTCTCTCTGAAATAGTGCCTGGGAGTGGGAGACTCAAAGCTTGTGGCTTGGGTGCATTTCCCCAAATTTGATGCAGTTTAACTGCTTAATCCTTTTCTTTTAGAGTAAATTGACTGATAGCTTGACTGAGAAGAGCAGGTGCAGTTTTTGCCATAGACTTAAAAGCACTTTTTGTTTTTTTTTTTCTTGTTGCAGGTTGCATTTACAACAAGAATCTATCATCCAAATATTAACAGTAATGGCAGCATTTGTCTTGATATTTTAAGATCACAGTGGTCTCCTGCTTTAACTATTTCTAAAGGTAAAGCATGTTTGCTTTTTTTCTCCTTTTGTGAAGGAGAAATTTTTCCATCTTGTGCTGAATACTGTGCTTTTAGCTTTGATTGTGTTAAGTGGTTCACCATCTTTTTGATTTCCCTTAACTTCCCTTCCCTTCCTCATTCAAGCCTATGTTTTGCAAGTTTGATGACACTGCATTTTTAATGGATTTTTTTTTTTTCCCTAACACTTTCTTCTATGTAGTTGTTTAAGGCTCTGTCTGGCCACTTACTTGCTTCAGTATTCTTAGCAGAGTTTACCAGGGCCCAGAGGAATTTGCTGGTATTTGGATTGAAACAGGCCTATGTTGGGGTGTTGAAGATAAGGCTGAGAAACTGCTTGTTTGGAGCTGCCCATGTAGATACATGTGCATATTAAATGAAAGATTGATTTAAAGTCAGCTTTCAATACTGAAATTTGCATAACTTTATCATCCTGCCTAGAATTACATGCATAGTTCTATTGGCATATCTGTGGTAGATGAATAAATCTGGTATTGATACTGCTTTCTACCATGGTGCACTGGCATTGCATTACATTACTTCATGAACTAATTTTACTGATCCAACTGCATGATAAATTGATGTTGTGTTGCAAGAGAATATTTGTGGCTTTCTTCATTTTGCTACAGTAAATAACAAATAATTCTCAAGTATTTTCATGATGATCAAATTGTTTTACCTCCAAGCCACTGGTCACTGTGGCTTCAAAAGATCCCTCAAAGTGCCCTTTTTTCTATGGACCTTGTAATTCCTGTCTGTCCAAACAGTCTGTTTGTTATTTGAATGTGGATTCCCTACATTTTAGTGCTTCACTGTTTTCTTCTAAAGCTTCTGTGAGAGTAGAAGATGAAGTCCTCATAGTTGCCTACAACAGCATTGCTGAGTTTTTTACAACATGTGTTAGTTTTATCAGTGCAGACCAGGATATTCTTGCCTTATGTAGAACAGATAAAGAATTCAGTCTCATTTAAAAACTAAAAACTTAAATTTTAGGATTTTTTAGTTTTAGTGATAAGAACCATGGATATGCTGTTCGTCAGAGTACATAATGTGCTTTTGTTGGCTGCTATGTTACATCATAGTGCAGGGGACAGCAGTGCTGTTCTTGTGTGTGTACTGACAGCTGTAAGTATTTGGGAAGTAGGAAGCAAATAGTTCTTGTAAACCTTTAAGTTAGTTTGGGCTTTTTACTTAGGAATGAGTTATGAATTTATATGGGCTGTTTATCAGGAAAATACTTTTGAGGTTCTGTCCTGTGATGACATTGTGCTAATGTAAAGATCTGTGCTCCATTGTTTCTGAGATTACCATTCCTCATTTGCTATTGAGAATGCTTTTATTTTTTTTTTTCAGTTCTCTTATCCATTTGTTCACTGCTATGTGATCCAAATCCAGATGACCCACTAGTGCCAGAGATTGCACGTATCTATAAAACAGACAGAGACAAGTAAGTACAGAATTGCACAAGACTGTAAGAGTGCATTGTCAGACAGCAGTTGTGTTCAGGGAGTCTTGTGAAGATCTGAGATGGAGAAAACTTGTGTCAAAGAAGTGAGTAGTGCATAATTTAAAAACAAAGGAGCTTACCATCTTTGCAGTTGTGGGTGAAAGAGACTTACCTTTTTCTCACATGAGTGGAAGTATTTTACAATATATATATATTGCCTATGTTTATGCATGGCAAGCAAAAACGTAGTTAGATCTTCATAATGAGGAAAAGACAGCTTTTTGTTGTTTTGATGCCTTAGTTTGGCAGCAGCTTGGCCTTAAATTTTGGGTCTTCCCTTGAAAATGGGCAGCAGAACTTTTTTCCCCATCTGTTGCAACAACTTCATTTTCCTAAGGCATCTTTAACATTTGGCACAGATAGAATTACATGAAACAGATTTTGGGGATTTTATATATATTAATGCTAAATATATTTGTCCGATTAGGTACAATAGGTTAGCAAGAGAGTGGACAGAGAAATACGCTATGCTGTAGGGTAAGAATATTTGCAAATTATGGTGCATTTAACAAAATGGAAATTTGTCAGCACTTGCGTGCTGCATGCTCTAAGGCACTGGATTAACTAACAGATAATGGATGCACCAGTTACTGAACGTGGAAATTTAACAGCTTGATCTGTGGTTAGTGTGTAATTTATTGGCTAGTCACTATTTCTCACAGATACTACTCTTGCATGGCCAAACAAAAAAGTTAGTATGAAGTAATTACTGAGTTCTGAGCCAGGCTGTCAACTTGTTCTGGTAAGTATTTACCCAGATTTTGTCAGAATTTGGTTCAAAGTGATGTCCTGTAGCGAGACCTCATATATAGACATGAGTGAATTCAGACCATCCAAATTTAAATTATTTTTAATCAGCAGTGTCTTTCTTCCACATAAAAACTAGGAAATGTATGGAGATTATGTTCTGCTTGTATAGTTAATTATTAACTTCTTACTGACAAGCATGCAGTTAAGTGTTAACTAATTGTCAGCTCAGTTCCTGTGGAAGTAGTGTACTTGAAGATGTCTTTTAATATCCTTTTAAAATTTTGAGCAATATATTTGTGTGAAAAGAATATTCAGTGCAATGAAATGTTGAATGTTGTTTTTCTTTAAAATTGGAAATTTGACATTTTGTATCCAGTGATATTAACCAAATAACCTTTACTTATGGCATGGGATATACTGTAATCTTAATCTAAGAACAATATCCACATAAAATACCTGCTTTGTTTACTCCATCCCAGATAGTCTCTATTGCTTCTCTTTCAGTCATTTTTTTCATAACAGACTTCTAGCAAATTCACTTGTCTTGAATTTAAAGCTTTTTCCTAAAAACCAGAGAATATCTACCCTGACTGGTGTGGGGAGGGAGTCATTCAGTGTTTTGAGTTCAAGAGACTACAGAGACTTCTCACAGTGTAAAGAGAATAGAGAGATGGGAATAAAATAATCACCAACTGTTTAGGAAATTGTCATTTTCATGCTGATGTTAATTTAATCTCTGGTTTTGTCTGCAGGTACAACAGAATATCTCGGGAATGGACTCAGAAGTATGCCATGTGATGCTACCTTAAAGTCAGAATAACCTGCATTATAGCTGGAATAAACTTTAAATTACTGTTCCTTTTTTGATTTTCTTATCCGGCTGCTCCCCTATCAGACCTCATATTTTTTATTTTTTTGTTTACCTCCTTCCATTCATGCACATGCTCATTTGAGAAGACTTTAGTTCTTCCAGCTTTGGACAATAACTGCTTTTAGAATCTGTAAAGTAGTTACACAAGAACAATTGCCCAAGATTCAGAATTTTTTTAATGGAGCATGTGTATTATGTGGCCAATGTCTTCATTCTAACTTGGTTATGAGATTAAAAACAAACATTCCTCACTGCTCTAACAGATACTGAAGATACCACCTGAAGGGGGAGGGGAGATGGATGTTCAGTTTTCTCCCATCAAAGAAGTAACATTGCTGTAGCAACATCCATCTTGTTCCAAACTCTCCAGTGTTAGAGAACTGAGGTTTTATTATATACTTCTGCTCATAACTGATGTGTCTGGAGAATTGGTACTGAATCTATAGCATCAGCAGAACAGAAAATGTGATGTATCTTATGCATGTCAATAAAGGAATGACCAGTTCTTGTTTTACAGAGAATGGAAATTGGAAGTCAAACATCCCTTGTATTCCAAAATAGGGTTTAAGAACATTTTTGTAATTCATTTAAATTTTGTTAGGAGGCTAGGAGCTATTAGTTAATCTGTCTTCCAAAACACTGTTTAATATAGCACTGAATAAATGATGCAAGTTGTCAATGGATGAGTGATCAACTAATAGCTCTACTAGTAATTGATTTATTTTCTTCAATAAAGTTGCATAAACCAATGAGTTAGCTGCCTGGATTAATCAATATGGGAAACAAAATCTTTTGTAAAAGCAAAGCTGGTTTTTGTATATACTGTTGGCATTTGCCTCGTTTAACATCAAATAATGATGTAAAGTTCAATAGAGTGACTCTTCTGCCATTTTCAGTTCTAATGCTCAGTCTGTTGCAGGTTGGCACATTGCTTGGCCTGGTGGATGCAGAATTAGTAAGCTAATATAGTCGTGTAGCCATAGCAGGGGGCTGCATTTGGTGCTGGGAGCCCAGTGTTCAAGAATGGACTTGGGACCCAGCAGATCTGAAGTGGTGTATTGTGGAGATACTTCCTGATGCACCTGTGTTTGCTGACTGAGAAACTTTTTCTTCACCTTGTACACTTGGCAACTGAAAGATCTTAATGTGGGGGTAATGATGAGGCAAAAAAATTATAAAATAAAGTACTGTTTTGATGTGGGAATTGTCATGAGGCTGTGTTGAAGTGACTTTACTATGTGGGATGTTTGTTACCATTGAAAAGGACTTGTTCAGCCATGCTGCCATTTACTTTGATGACTATTTTAATGCGACAGACACTTTCTTCATGTCAGGTGACTTAACGTGAATAAAGGCTCATTGCTATTGGATTTTTGTTCTACAAGAACCATTGTCTTGTGCCATTAGTTTATCTTTCAGCAACAAGGGCATTATTAAACATCCAACTCTCTCCTCCCCTCTTCCTTCATATTTTTCCTTGTTTAATCTTTTTGGTCTCCATTCTTAACATCCATAGCTTCATTTTCTCTAGTCTTGTGCTATCACTTTATTGTGCATCTGTGACTTCTCACTGGCACCACTTTTGCATTGCTTATAGTTATGTACATTCTGATCCCTTGTCCCCACATGGATGTGGAAAGCTAGATGTAAAATAAATGTTAAACCTTAATTTTTATAAAAATTTGAACATGTACTTTGGACATGGTTTGTTCTGGTTCTGAACTGGAAGAGGGAACTTGAAATTTTCAAGTTTAGTTGGCTTGGAATCTAGAAACCTGGGTTCTGCAGTACATTCTTCAGTGACAACTTCCTGGAATGTATTGATGAAGTTGCAGTTCATTTCTGCTTTGCTAACCAGCTTACACCATTTTGCTGGAAAATTGGAATACAGCTGCCAGTAGCATTACAACTGAGGTAGAAATTTATATTACAAATGTGCTGCTCTCAATTGTTTTTTTTATACTTGTGTTAATTTGATGCTTATTACTTTGTCCTGGGAGTCACACCCACTGAAATCACATGATCAACTAGGAGAATGTTTTATGAGGTGTAAAGCAGCAAGTGTTAGAGAACACAAGGAGGTGTGTGCTATGAAGGGTCAGGAAAGAAGAAAATAGTAATATACTACATGGAAGATGAAAATGCTGTTTGGACCAGTGCCTGTTTCTTTTTTATATCTGTCATATTCCCACTGTAATAATTTTTGTAATTAGCAACTGTATTTTTATGAAAGAATGAGGATGGATTATAGGTGTTCTAGATGCATGCTGAAGGCCCAAAGTGGGAAATGGTAAGTAGGTGTTTTTGTCCTTTAAGCAGACACAGTCCTGTGTGGTGCAGGTTTCTTGTACATTTGAACTTCCTGTTCAAGCAGAGGGGCAAAGGGAAGAGCTGATAGGAGGTAATATGGACATGGTGAAGAATTCTAAGACCACAAAAATCTTAACTGGTGATTACCTCGATGAGTACCTACCAAAACCACAGGTAGTCTTAAAAATTACAGAGTGGATCTTAGTTCCTTTGGAACATAGGGAGGGGTGGAAAATTTTCCATTGAAACAATGTAAAAAGTGAAGGTTTTGGAAATGTGAGTTGTCCTATTCTACTGTGGTAATGTTTTTTTTTGTCATGATAAATGCTATAATAACTTCAGAGGGGTCAGCTTCATACTAGAAAACTTAGATTAAACAAAATCTATTTTAATGACTTATTTGAGAGCAGGTATACAGAACAGAATGTCAAGCCAAGAGATAACAGGAAAAGAAACTAGAGTGTTCTTTCTGCAGTAATTCTTTAAAGATTGCTTGCTTTGTTTAATTGGGGTTTGAATTTAACAACACGGTTGCAGTCAGTTTGTTGAAGTTTCACTTGAAAACCCTTGAGTAGTTTTAAGGACAAAAAAAGTATTTTCAGGATGCAGGTACAACTTCATCTGTAGCATTGGCTAGGGATTTTTCTGTATTTGTTGTAAAATGAGTATACACACATTTTGCGTGCTTGAGTAAAAACATTCTACCCAGTTGCAATGTTCCATAGTTTAATATTAAGATTACAGATGCTAACTTTTTCCGAAAAGTCTGGCTTTAAGCAGACCACAGCAGCAAGCTTTGGTTGCTGTGGAGGCATGGAACTACAGTTTGGCAAATGATTAAAAGAACCAGTTAGTAGATGGGTGTGCAGACATACAGTACTGGTCCTGTTAGATTGGATAGTTGCTTATGCAGAAAGGAGTTTGCATTAACCAGCAGATAATGTAAGGCTTTAAATACAGCCAGGAATATTCTGAATAATTCCATTGTATTATTTTTTTGCAACCGTCCTTCAATTTTTCTCTAGTAATTTTATTTCAAACTCCTCATTGCTTTAAAGAAAGTGTTTTCACAGGCATTATCATCTCAAGCAGATACCTTAGGTCTATCAAATGTGGCTGGTGATTCAGAAGTCTTCAGTCTGCATATCCCTAGTAAAAATTAAAGCATAGATGGAATTCAGCTGAAGATTTACTGCTCTGTTTATAGCTGTCCAAACCAAATTAAGTTAGTTGTTTTTCCCTGATTAATTTGTAGTTTCATACATGAAAATGAGGCTAAGACAAAACCCTTTTTAGTTAAACAAATTAGCACTAGAACAATTGAATCAAGAAAGAATCTTAAGGTATAAAGGTTATTTTACTAGAACTCAGACTATATAAATTCCTTCAAATGTGAAAACAAGTGTACTGATTGGATTTATCTGCTTTCTGGTTTTTGGTTCTAGGTGTCATTGAATGGATGGTATTTTACCCCAGTGCCTTCAATATAAAATAGGTATAAATTGAAGAACAGTTGGGTTCAGATCATGATAGGCAATTACATATTTTAAAAGGTTGATGGAATTGCAGCTATAATACTTTAAGTATTAGGCTGAGGGCTTGTATTTTGGCAACAGTGTAGGACCAATGCAGAGAAAGCATGAGAACACAGGAAACAAAACTGGGTAAATATGTCATTTAAAGGGAAAGTAGAGAAGGCAAAGGTACTGAATTACTGTGCAGTGAAAATGGGCTGCTGTCAATTCATACATTCTAGTATAAAAGCAGCTGGTTTCAAAATAGTCTGGAATAAGATAGTTGATAAATTACAATTTTAAGTATCTTAGCCTGACAGAGAACAGCAATTCATAATAACCCTTAACTGGAAAACCAGTTCAGAGTGCTGACAGACAAGCTCTTGCAGGTTTGTGTAGTGTAGAACAGTTTGAATTGGTGTTTGTGATGGTTTAGCTGATTCCCATAAACTGACTTAGCATTCTTGGTTAATGCAGCAGTAAATTCTGCAGCGACTTTGGTCTGCAGTGCATTTAGATGCAAGCACTCAGTCTTTTGCAGGGATAGTTGAAAGTTGTCAGTGTCATTTTTCTGTACTGCAGTGGTTGGTTCAATGTCAATCAGTTGTGGGGGAGAGTTCAGTAGCTTCCAGATAAGCAGGCGTAAGGGCTGTAACTATTTCTAGAGCAGCTGTCTGCCTTGGGTAGGTTAGAAGAGGTGACAGGCATAATCTTCACAGTGATAGGTGCCAGAAGTGAAACTGAATTTAATAGGACAGTTCTGTGTAAAGTAATACTTGAAAATTTCTCTGGTAAACACCCTTGTTTGCCCAAAATAGCTTTTGTTTGCTTGGGGTATTTTTGCCTATGCTTAGAAGTATTGGTGAGACTTCAGTATCTTCTTTCAACAGTGAAGAATTTTAACTCATGATGGGACAAAGCTTTATCAGGACACACAGTTGATTAGAATATATTGGTTTTTAACAGCTTTTAATACTGATGTTTGCTTTCTGGGGTTGTTTCTGTGCTCTTGAAGAGTAGGCTCCTCTCTTTAAATGGCTTCTGCTGAGATTGGTTCCCCTTCAGGCGCTTCAAGCAGAAATACTCAGGCTGTATTTAGGAGTCTAGGTTTGGCAGATTAGGTAATTCTGGTTTTTGCCTACGTTTCATTAATCTTCATATTAACTGGGCATTGTCCCATCACAGTCTCTTAATGTGCAGAGTATGAACAGTTGCTGAGAAGATGGTGATACAATGTTATCCTCATGGGAGGAATGCTAGCTGTAGAGCTGGGAGCTGGCTTTGCTCCAGCTGCTTTGGCAGACTAGAGTTGTGGAGACAGAATTTCGAAATGCCTTTACTTTTATCAGGGATGGGAATTCTGACTCAAGTTTAGTCTCAGATGTGATCTCATGTTTCATCAGAGGAAATGCAAAAATTAAGCTGTTACCTGTATTTTGAAGAGCTGCCTAACAGGTGATGTTCACTTAGAAAGCATCTGTAGAGACTGAGTATGGTAGTTTCCTGTATGCTGAGGAGAAGAGAAGCCTTTGCTTATTTGTAAGTCAAGTCTGTTTTGGTTTTTTCCCCCTTTGGCCAGGTAAGCCTCAGCAGTCCTTGTCTTAGAGTCTTGGAGGCAAGTCTAAAACGAAATTGTTCAGTCATGAGTCCTTAGGGTTTGTTTGTTGCTCTTTTTTGTTGTTTTTTTTTTTTTGTTTTGTTTTGTTTTTTGTTGTTGTTGTTCCTTTTGTCTGTGGGGTATTGGGGTTTTCTAGGGAATGTTCTGAAACACAACTTTCTACTGAACGTGCAACGCTAAAGATCTGAAGGAGGAACTGCAATTTGTAACCTTACATAGAGAACGTAATATGAATCTATAACCTGTTCTTCCTGGCAAATTTATGGAGGTAAATAGTAAAGATCTGTCATAGCTCTGGCAAAGATCACTGTTCAGTGTGAAGCTGTTAATTCTTTAGGGAAGGATACTCTTGCTAAAACAAGGTTTGCAGATTACTTGTCATGGTGTTAATCCTGCTCTGACAGCAAATGCTGAAAATTAATTCACAGACACCTCAGTAATTGAAGGATCTATTCAATATAACCATTATTTTATTCTTTTTCCTATTGGAAGGTTTGGGATGCTCTTGTTGGAGTAAGAGGTCCAGATCTCTTCATCATAAGATTCTAGATTTTGTGTCTGTACTCAGAAGAACACTGAGGAGAGGATCACTGTTAGTGATTGTAGGAGTTCTCAGGTAACAAACTTAGTGGAACATGGCAGTGATATTTTTCTAGAATGGATTAGTGCTGGCTGAAGAATTGAATTTAGTATTTGGGATGTTCAATCTCTGTGTCTGTGAAGAGTTAAAGTACTGCACCTCTCAAGCATGTCTGTCTGTTCTAAGCTCAGTAACAAGCTGCCAGAGCACAAGTGCAGATGATGAGTCTAACCAGCATTAAGAGGTAGAACTTTCATGTGTACACAAATCATGATCTCCTGGTTTTATTGGTTGGTTGTTCTAACTGCTGTGTTTTTACAGTTTGAGTTGTATTTCATGAGGATGTCT